TGTCCGCTGATAGGATGGATGATCCTGCTCCTCTTTAACCTGGAGGATGTGGTATCCATGATTTACAAAAACAATTAGAAAATTTGATTTGTCAGACCGCAGGACAGTTTTCCATTTTGCCTCAGTCCATCTTAAATGAGCTTGGGCCCAGTGAAATCAGCATTTCTGCATCATGTTTAGATATTATTTCTTCTTTGCATGGTACATGCATGGTTACACTCTGTAAGAATGAGACATCATTTCACTCTCAAAACTCCAGCAATTTGTCTCCTCAGTTCCCAAACATTTACAGAGTGTTGCTAAAAGAAGAGGTGATACAACACAGTGGTAAACATGCCCCTGTCCCAACTTTTCTGAAATGTGTTACTGGCATCAAAATCAAATATATTTCTCCTAAAACAATAAAATTAGTCAGTTTCAACATTTGATATGTTGTCTTTGTTCTATTTTCAACTAAATATAGGTTTATATGATTTGCAAATCATAGCATTCTGTTTTTATTTTACATGGCGTGTCATCTTTTTTGGAAACGGGGTTGTAGTTTAATAGTAGTATGTCTTCTGATATTAACTGTGTTCATTTCTGCAATCAGTACAGTACAATACAAATTACACTTCATTTCACACATGCACAACATGTACATACACACACACACTCACACACACGTCGGAGGAGTTTAATAACATTTAAGGAATGTTCTGAAAGTAACTGTTGAAAAACCCTTTTCATATACCTTTTTTGAATTTTTGAATGTTGTGATGTCTTCTGTTCTGATGCAGTGTTGCCACAGGTGATTGTGTAAGTGTGTTTGTGCTGCACTTACGCCTAAAACAAATGTTTATAATGTGCTGCCTCCCTCACTAGTGTGTTGCTTTGGACAAAAGCATGTGCTAAATTAATGTAAATGTTAATATGCATGCACACATGCATATGTGTGAGTACATGTACAAGTATTTGTCCGTAGAGAGCAAAGCAGTGCAGACTAGAACTGTTGTGCATGCAAAAACAGTGCTAATTACAAACATCTCAGGTATGGAAAGTGCCTCTTCACTAATCCATTTATATACTTCACTGGCTACCCTGTTTTTATCCATGGATGTTGGTGACCTGTGCTGTTGGTGGCATCAGAGAATTTTCACCCTTTTAACTTTAATGATCGTTTGACTGGTGGGTGGTAAATTAGCATGGCATGCAACATAAATACACCTGTAAACAACATCCTTAATTTCTTGTTTTTGTATTGCTGATAAACAAGTGCTACAAGTATCTCTTTCGTCCTCTGACTGAAAATGCACCAGAGAGGAACATGAAAGCAGAGGTACTCTAGGTAGCTAACGACACCTGAATCGCACAAACAATTTATTCACTAAAATGAGCCATTGTACTACGTAGGTAGGAAGAGATCGTTAGCAATAGACTGCTGGGAGACAGACTATAACAAGAATCAAAAGGCAACCTTTAAAAATATCACAACTACCATTCATAATGTTTCTGTACATCTTATGATTTACTACACATTTATTACAAGATAGAAAAAAAAGACAAATATATGTAATATTCGGGGTGATTTGTGGCTCCCTGCCGGGGAATTCCTGAGTGATGTCACTATTTCGATAAAAGCTACTCCTAAATAAATAAATATAAATATATATATAGATATTAGGGCTGGGCGATGTGCCAAAATATTTTAATTGCAATATGAAAAAAAAATCAGTCAATATGAATAATTTTAAGGATATAATTCCAATATTTTTGCTGCATTTTTGCTTAAAATTTCCTTAAGATTTCCAGAAACATTCAGAACATGACAAAAGATGCATGGGCTGCAAACTGAAATTTAATTTGAATAAATTGTACAAAATACACATTTCTTGTCATAGGGCGTAACACTAGAAAATGCTGACGATATGGTTTATGGCTGGGTTTTTCTCCGACTGCCTTGCTGCTCCTTCCAGGGATCAGGTCTGACGGTGCTGGTAGACATTACCACCGTCCCATATTTTATCGGATGGTACAATTTGAAAAATAAGATACTGTGTCCTGTATTGAACCAATATGGGACACAATTTGTCCTGTATGTTGGAGGATAATGGGGTCCAGTATTTCTTCAGAGAGAAAGTAGACATTCTACTTGCTAGTGTGAGTGTCTGTCTGTGACTGTAAGAGTTTGCATTCTGTATGCTCTGCTTGATGGCAGTGCTGAGATAGGGTCACTTTTTTGTTGGCACAAGTTTCCGGCAGTCAGGATTTTTCCAAGGACCCAGAGTGACAGGGGGCCTAAACAATTTGCAACATAATTGGACTGGTCTGTGTGGGGGCCCAGTACGATATGCTTTCAGCGCCTCTGTTTACAGTGCACAGCACCAGACTGTTGTATGTCAGACATTTAATTGCCAAAGTACCACCACACCACCAATGTCTTTGCCTGTTCATCCACAATATCGCCATTTAAAAAAAAACGGTGGCTGTTGAGCTGTTGCTTTCATTGCCGACACTTGAAGTTTCCTCTTAGGGAGTGTTTCGCTCTTCTATATAATATTACCAAAACAGTAGTATATAACATAATCCACAAACTTAACCAACCTTGCTGTGACTCAAAATTTGATTTTTTCTTATATAAAGTGTATATGATGATAACTTGATATATCATTCATATTATATCCTAATACAGACATACACACGCATGCACACACACACACACACACACACACACAGACACACACACACACAGTTGTGTAATCATATCTTAATTGCTCATATCCCTAATATGCATACATGTATATACACACATATATATCGTGTGTGTTTGTCTGTCTGTCTGTCTGTGTGTGCGAGCAGGTATACATTACCTTATGGGGACAATTTAATAAAAATCTGTCACTGCAATGAAAAAACTAAACATGCAAAAACTCTTGTATTTTGCTTGGTTACTTATGGTTAGGGCTGGGTGGGGATTAAGGTTGTCATAGTTAGCGTTAGCATTTTTCCATAAGAAATGAATGAGTGGTCCCCATAAAGATATGTTTACCCGACATGTGCACGTGTGTGAGTGAGTGTGTGTGTATTCAGCACTACCAGCTTAGCACATGGGGAAACAGCTACTCATACAAGGCTATTTAAAATATACACAGTGACCTCTGCTGCTGCGGTCAAATGATTCACAGCATTCAATACCCCAACGAGGGCAGCAATCGATGGGGGCTGAACAGCAAGGAGAAGTAAAGTCTGGAAAAAAAATACAAGATGTGGTCGGCAGACAGAGCCACTGTACTGCTTATTTCCTTAAATATGTCTGTAAAATCATAACAATCCGATTATATTTATGTTGTAAGCAAAAGCCCTATAGAAATGTATGCAGAAACAAACACTAGAAACTGGCAAAAATATTTTACAAAGATATTCCAAATGCACGAACTGGACAGCAATTTAGAGATGACTCACACAGCAGCGGTTACAGAAAATACTGAGCAATACCAAGGTTGGTGCAGCATATCCAAAAATCGGCATGATCTATCCATTCCACTGAGGATCCAGCAACATTTTTAGCCCTTTGGTGTGTGACAAACTAAAAAGGAAACGAGTTATTTGTACTACAAAATAAAAACCCGTAGCACCAGCCTAGTAAACAAAATGGGAAACAAAACATTTACGGCATGTTTCCGTGTTACTGTATGTCACAGAACCCCGTCCCACCCCCTCACCAAAAAAAAAAAAAGTCCATCGCACACTAACTACAGCATGCCGTCATCTGAAAACCATAACTTTATTCACAGACGCTTTTTGTTTGGTTTATCACCCGCACACATGTGATTCTTTATAATCCAGACTAGTAAGGACTCGAGGGGTAAACATTGCCCCAGAGCAGCCAGCAGAAGCTATCAGCACAATCACGGTTATAGAAACATCACAGCACTGCACCAGTCAATAAGATCACTGATATGTTTTGATGAATGGCTCAACAAGAGATCAGCTGACACTGAATGCTGTCAAAAGCTTCTATCTTCATAACACAATCTAGGAGCCCTTTAAGCTATGAAGCCTTTACAATATTAACAATAACAAGTTGGCACTGAAGGAGTTTCCCAGATGATTATCCAAAAGAAAAAGTTGCATTATTACAACTACTTACATATATACCATTGTATTACTTCAATGTACAATAAATTTCGACTTGTCTGCTTTCTACAGACCAATAATGCCAAGTTAAAATAGATGCAGAACAATAAATGCAAGACAATAAGCAGATCAGCCAAAAAGACAATACCACTATTGTAAATGTTTAGCATAGAGATGTTTCACAGTTGCGTAGGAATAGTGTAATTCAACAAAGGTCTATATATAACATTTATAAGACATTTCAGGCATATATTGGTTGTAATTTTTCTCTGCTTTTCTAGAAATGAAGTGTCATGTTCTCAAATTCACACTCAAGATGTGCCACGGGACCTGAAACATTAAGCAGCTTCCTGGCATGCAGACTGAAGAAAACGTATAAGGAAGCCTGGTGACTGGTGAGCTGCCTCAAGGGATCATGCAACTGTAGGGCACATACTAAAGTTTATGTTAAACTACATGAAATTGTTATACTGGACACACCACTACAATTCAACGCCCTTCATTATAAAGCCAAAGAAGGGGTTTAAAGCCATGTTGCTTTCAAATGATGTGTAACAATCTACAAAATATAACTGATCACTGGATCATTCATCATTATCTTAATTGCTGTAATGAATTCCAAGTGGCTTGTTTCCTATTCATTCATTAAAATATTGATAAATAACGCATTTAAAGTGTCTATAATAACTACACGTATAAATTCAAAATTCAATATTCACTATCAGGCATGGCACTTATGATAATCCTTAGGTAAAAGGCAATGCGAGTAAGTTGTATGAGTAAAGATTTAGAGAGCAATTTCAGTGGCCTGTTCTATTCCATACAATAAACGGCAGCTGGATTTTTATGCTGTTCTGTGACTATGTATTGTATCTGAGCCATACCTTGACACTGGTGTGGCTCGTCTGCGTCTCGGCCTCGATGCAGATGTGTCCCCCGCTGTTTTCCCGGCGCTCCCGATGCGAATTTGTCCGTACGTGTCTGCTTTGGTAGGCGATGACAGAAGGGATGGAGTCTGCCGCGTCGGTCTTGATGAACAGGCCGTGGAGGGTGGCCGCGGTACCCTGGGAGATAGTCGTTGTCTGGTGAGGGGAGTTGGACTCGTCCGAGTCCCTGCAATAGATCACCCCGCTCTGAGAGACGTGAATACTGGGAGCGCAGCCCATACCTCACACCAACGATCCTGCGCAAACCCAGTTACCTAATAATTCCTGTTACTTCTGATTGTCGGATGTCTTTTTCTACACCCCCGGCGCTTAAACTCCCCTTGCTATTCTTTCAGTACATCGGCGCCTTTTCTCTATTGCAACTCCCCCACCTAGTCCCTTCCGTCTATTTGAATACATCAAGGAAGAAATATTAGGTTGTTTCCTCTCTTTCACCTTCAAACTATGCCGCTAATTCCTGCACTCCGCGATGCCGAGGTGTGTGTCCTCCAAGCTCTGCTTTCGCGACTGCTGCTGTTTTAATATCATATGCTATCAACTGAATAATATAATTGATGCTACTGTGCAATGCGACCATTGCCGTGTGTCGCCAGTGAATCATTTCATTGTATAACGCATACACGGATCACATAAAAGATAAGAAAGTGTTACGTCGGTTTCAGCTTATCCCTTTCATCTCCACAAAAATAATGTCCTCTGCCTGTCATGTTCGCTTCCGAGAAGAACTATCTAACACGCCCATTCACAGCACCAAACTGAATTGGTCAATTAAAATGCACTCACATCTACTAGTCATAATTTAGTATATTGGCGGAGATGTGTGGCTCTCTCCACCTAATTTGCATGAATGTGTTGTATTCGACCCATGTGGTTTTAGCTTTTAAATATTACTTTTATCGCCGTAGTTGTCATGGATCATATATTTCCCGTACAAACGCGGTTTGTGTGCATTGCCGATTCCTAGTGCATTAACAGATCTCATGCATGTTTATGGTTACATAACCATTTACATTATTCTTGTGTGTGTATTCCTTTTCGTTTTTATGACCAACTCTTTTCGAAATCCATTGTACGTCACAAACAACTGGACATCATTTGGCTAATGGGTTTCAGCTACTGTAGGTTTTCGTAATGCTACACTAATTGTTCGACAGGAAAATTGTAGCCTACTTACATTTTATCGAGGGATCGCAAAACCTAAGTGTATAACGCAGAGGCGCCATTAGGGGTGGGGGTTTAGGATGATTCCAAGGCCAAATTGTAAAATAACTGGATTGATCTGGACTGGGGAGCCCAATATGATATGCTTTCATGGGCCCCTGAATGACATCATGGGCCCCTGAATGACATCGTCCTAAGCTACAGTCTCTGCATGTCTGTTTCCAGTAGGTAGCTCACACGCAAATTGAAAAAATGCCCCCTAAGCTTGTATTGTGAAAACAAATATACACTCCCTGAGCACTTTATTAAGTACACCTGTTAAACTGCTCCAACCAAATATCTAATCAGCCAATCATATGTCAGCAGTGCAATATATAAAATCATGCAGGTAATGGTCAAGAGTTTCAGTTAATGTTCATATCATACACCAGAATGGGGAACGAAGGTGACTTAGGTGACTTGGAATATGGTGTGGTTGTTGGTGCCAGACAGGCTGGTATGAGTATTTCAGAATCTGCTGATCTACTGGGATTTTCACACACAGCCATCTCCAGGGTGTACAGAGAATGGGCCAAAAAGGAAAAACATCCAGTGAGTGGCGGTTCTCTGGGTGAAAATGCCTTGTCGATGGCAGAGGAGAGAGAAGAATGGCCAGACTGGATCAAGCTTAGTACCAGTTGATCATTATTTAAATTCTGCAGCCTACCTGAGTATTGTTTAAATTCCTACTTGAGTATTGTTTACATTCCTACCTAAGTATTGTTGCTGATCATGTCCATCCCTTTACGACCACAGTGTACCCAACTTCTAATGGCTGCTTCCGGCAGCACATATCATCTGACTGTTTTCTTGAGCATGACAATGAATTTCTGTACTCAAATGAACTCCACAATTACTACATCTCAATCCAATAGAGCACCTATAGGATGTGGTGGAATGGAAGATTTCCATTATGGAACAGGAGGTTTGCATTATGAAGGTGCAGCCAAAAAATCTGAAGCAACTGCATGGTGCTATCATGTCAACAAGGACCAAAGTCTCAGAGGAATGTTTCAAGCAGCTTCTTGAATCTATGCCATGAATAATAAAAGTAGTTCGGAAGGCAATAGGAGGTCCAACACGGGACTAGCAAGGTGTACCTAATAAAATGGCCAGTAAGTGTAAGTCACCCCAGCACACAATTTGACCCTGTTTGTCTACATCTTCAACTGAAATAATGAGCTGAGGTGCCCTTTTCCACTTCCTCTATAGATGTACTGCCAACATCATGCCTGCAGATATAGGAAGACAATCCTAGAAAGGAGAGGGAAAGGTGCTGGTCCACTGCACACACACGTCATGCAGCACAATGTGGAGTCAGTTTAACAGGGGACTGAGCTAAAGACTGCAGCTGAACCCATAACCTATCTGTGCTGCGCTAACCTAATACCAATAACAGATTACAAAAGCAAACAAAATCATGTACAACTACTCTAACTACATATAAACCTGCATCAGATTTTACTTCAGTTGTTGAAATATATTCTTAGTTATGGGAGACTATTGGATCATAGATTTTAAAGTAATTTATGCTAGGTTGTTATATTTGATATATAAAAATCAAACAATAAAATGTATTTGGATTGATAGCCTTTATCAGTACTTAATCAAATGTTAATACAATAACATCATCGAAAGATTTTCTATAATAGAACTGGCATTGCTAGACAGACTACAAAACCGAATTATTTGTAACAATAATTCCATGCTAATTTAAAATGGACAAATAATTTGTATCATACTAAAACCAGTTGTGGAAAACTTACTTTTGTTAAACTTTAAATAATCTGATGCACATAACGTAGTACATTTGATGCCCTCTCGTGGCAATGATATGTATGTATTTGGATGAAGCGAAATTCTGCTCCGCTTCAGTTGATTATAGAAAATTGAGGTACGTATTCATCTTTGGTTCGTTCGAAAAAGAAACTTTTTTTTTCCTAAACTCTAGACGGCTTAGAACTAATTAATATTTATTAAAATACATTAGTTATATCCAATTGCAAGTAAGAATCCAATCATTAAAGCATTATTTTATTTTCCCACACACCAAATTTTTGGCACTGAGTTAGCAACATTTTTGCGGCAGATTAATCTTTAAGGTAGGTAGTCTTTAAATTATATCGTCTACGCAGTGAAGTTCCCATTTGTTAAAGGAATAATCTCTTGAAGTACAATTTTTACAAAAACGGCACTGCAAAGTAATTAAAAGGAAAAGATGCACACCTGAAATATATGTATGTCTAATCTTCATATAAGGCTCTATAACATTAACTTCACACATCCTGGTATTTTTAGAGACATTCCATTATCCAAGGTGGTTTACAACCTGCTTGACAGTTTACATTTGGGAAATACAGCGTGAACTAAATTATCTAAAAAGGGGGGAAGCTCTTCGTGAGAAGTTGCCGCAACTCCGACTGACCCACTAGTAACGCTCCCCCTTACCTCTCTCCAGCGCCCGTTGCTGGTTTCGGTCTCCTCTTCCGTGCTCTGGCTCATCTCTGTATAATTATAGTGATTAATTCGTGGCGATAAAATGACGGTAACTGCACTGCGCGAGACTTCGCTCGCGTTCTCAGCCGCGCGAGCCACCACCTGTACGCAAACCTCACAACGTTCCAACATCAAATGTACAGCAGAAGCGCTGGTGCGGTCCTAGTGCCCTCTCATTTTCAGTGCACCATACAAAACGTGGGACATTGGTGCTTATTTGGTCAAAGCAGATGCTTGTAATCACATTGGATATATAAGCTCTTTGAATACTTGCAAACTTCCTGCCAATCAAGAGGCTGATACTTGACTCCCATTTCCAGTAATACAAGACGCTTGCTGTGTGAGTTTCATACGTAGTGCAATTTTTACAATTCCTTTGTACACTATACCACCTGGAAAATCACAGCAGAAGTTAAATATTTGGATTTGCAGTACAAAACTGGCCATGGTACACTGGGGGGGGGGATTATTTGCCACCAGAAGGATAACCCACCTGTTAGGAAAGAGACATATATTGAATCAAATCAGCTGGATAAAATTCTCCTAAAAACTGATAAAAACAAACATTTAGTATCTTACCTGAAGAAATGCAGGTAGTGCCGATTCAGAATATTTAAAACAAGTCCAGCCAATCAGAAATAATTACCTGTCCATATTGCAATACTCAGGAGAGTTCAGCTTTTCTCCATGCATCACTTTCATGCTAGTCAACTCAAAGGTTTATGACACATTTTTATTTGCCACTAGTGGATATGTCTACCAGCTCGGGAGTGTAAGAATTTACCAATCAGCTCCAGGCTCTCTTATTCTACTTGAGCCTATGGCCCTTAAGAGAATGATGAGCACACTTACAGCGCACACATAAAACGGGAAAAAACTGATCCCATTGAATTAGAACACAAGTGAAAAAATACCCTCCCACGTCCAATCACAACAAGCATGCATAACCTCTAAAGAACAGGACCTTTAGGAAAAAATGAATTTATTTCATAATTTCACATTGCTACGTTGCAGGATCACATGGATGACACAAATAAATGGATTAACAGATGAAAATAAAAAGGTCTTGTATGTTGTTAGCAGCACATTCACAATTATATCTGAGAAAATGCCAAGGGTTTTATTCTGGACCTTTAGCAAGAGCCGGATAAAAATGAAAATACAATAAAAAAACAACAACAACCCAGTCCTATACTCAGATACTATTTGATGGCTCATTTGTTTCACTTTTAACCCACGACTTCGGCTTGTGTTGGTCTTTCTTAACAGAGGTGCTCGGCGTCCGGCAAGTGTCAGCGAACCTTTCCCTAGCTTTCTCCCAGTTCTTCTTGCTCTTGGACTTAGGCAAGGTCAGGTCATCCACTGATACAGAGGCGTTAACCCCAAGTCCGGCTTGTGACTTCCTGACCTGAAGCTGAATCTAGAAGGATTTAAAGAGAACTACTGAGGACAAATGCATAAATGCCTGTTTGGTGCATTTGTGTCTTACATTACTGACCATAACAGCTGCTGAATCAACTGAAAGCTGTTGAATTAGTTAACTATCAGAGAAAGCTAGAGTGCTATACATCATCTTTAGTAGTAAGAAACCAAAATAAAGGGTCAGATAAACACATCTTCATAATTACCGGATCTTTCATTCCTGCTCCATCCTTCCCAAGCCCTTCACCCTTCTTCCAGCCCATTTTCTCCAGCATTTTCCGTCCTTTGTTAGCATCACTGATTTCCCTGTATATATATATATATATATATATGAATGCACAGGTTTTTTATTAAAGCAGGATTTGAGATTACAAAAATTATTTAGTAGTTTTACCAAAAGAATATCACTCAGGCCCCATGTAGACTGGATTAAAGTTTACCTTCCATCCACCAGTACTGTTACTTTTAAATTCATTAACATTTAATAACAGTGTATAATTTATGAAAAGAACAAATAACAATCCACTTGAATAATGAGTGACTGACTCCATTCATGTGGTGTGGCTGAAATTTACAGTGGGAAGCTACAGTATAGAGGCATGTGACACAAATTGACTTCATTTACAATAAGAGATGAAAACTGATTTAAAGTTTAAGAGGAACAGGCCATCCAGCCCAAATCCTCAAACAAATAGGTGCATTTAACAAGCAAATCACTGACATTTGTGGGAATGCTTCTAGACATCCATTGTTCCTGATGACACCAGACCTCTTTCAGATCTGAGCTGGCTTGTCCAGCTTCACCCCCCCACGCCCCCCCCCCCAAAGTTCAAACACTACTTACACATCAACAGAGGATGGGGCATCTTCTCTTTGGAAGGTCCCCTCGCTTCCCACCACTTGGCGGCGCTCTTCTGCACGGTCTTTGTACCTGGGGTTCTTCAGGGCTTTGGTACCATCGTACTCGCTGTTCTGTGGTGGGGTAGAAGTTCACAAAAAAAGTGAAGTAAAAAAATTAAATTTAACCTTCAGCTAAAAACATTAGCTGAGCCACACATTTAAAGGCACTAATGAGCTTCCCAGTTAATTATCACAGAGCTAATAAGAATTGATGAAATTACGTTACAAAACTTCTAATGAGATATAGACAAAGGCAAACGCGAATCATCAATTGAAAATTGCAATATCGAAGTAAAAATGGTTACATTATGAAGAATAAACAAAATAAACAGCAAAGTAAAACAGATCATTGCAATAAGATAAAATAAGATCATCATGTAAAGTTTGAATTATGAAATTCTAAAATGCCTGGTAAAACTCTGTTTTGAAAACCTGATGTGGAGATTGATCGTACCAAATGAAACGTTTAACGAAATAGTACTAAATCTCTACTGTCCTGTGATAGGTACCATACAACCAAAATGCTTCATATTTAAACACAAAATTTTTCACTAAAATTTTCATAATTTTCATAATTTCAGTGGTTCATGTAACTGACAAAGCAACTCTTTCTATTGCTACAAGGCTAAAAACAAATACACAGGAAATCCAGCAGACATTCTTCTGAGTAATTCAATATCTCTGGCATTAAATAATTCTAAAGCAGGTCAGCCCTGACCGCAATACTGAAAGCACTACTAATACACATTATAAAACACAGCAAAACTTATTTACTTAACTTGAAATAAAAAATCTTTGACCAAACAACTTCATTTATTATTCCTCTTTTCCGTTTTGAATTGTGACAGTTTACTGGCTAACGGTTACTGTAGGAGTATAAGATATCCGCTTACAGTGGTGCATTCCATAGACCAAGCCAATAATTGCAGCTTCATCTATGCACCATTTGAAAGGCAGTTAAAAGGCAGCCTTCTTATACTGGAGGAAAAACACGCAAACAGGTAGGAAACCTACAGTCAGGCCATATTTCACTTTCATCTGTTTAAGTTCCTTCTGCCTCTGGAATTCTTTGTCCTCTTTGCCCATTATTGGTCCTGTTAAAAAAAGCAGTTCAGACAGTTATATAACCAGCCAGCGTGTTAATCATAGCACAAACTATGACAGCTACTGTGCAGACCCTCACCTATGAAGTCTAATATCTGTGAAAAATGTCATGTGCTTTTGCAAATTTTGGAAAAAAATTTGTAAAATGAGTGACCATGTCAGCTTAAGCTGAGTAAAATGTATTACTTAATATTAACATATCACTTAATGTTAATAAGAAATATAAATATACTTTATTTTCACCATATTACTATGACTGCTACCCACTTTAGAATTTAAAATAAATGCACCCTTCTTGTATTTCCTGTTCAGTACAGAGCGTCTGGAACCTCCATGTAAAGATTACCCAAATGCAATCTAAAATTTCAGCGAAGAAGTGCAGCAGGTTGGCATTAAGAGGACACCTACCCCCTGCCTCCTCCCTCCTGTGGCGGCTGAGGTGAGCGAAGACCTGGCCGGGCTCACAGCCGTCGCACGTGTCACTTCCTGGGTGGATGTGGAAGGACAGGACGGTGTCCCCCATCTTGACCTCATCACCATGAGCCAGTACACAGGGATCAGACTTGGATTTAGGCTGGGGACCAAATATTTATAATAAAAATGGGTGGGGGTGCTTATACGGTATTTCAAAGATAGTGAGGGAAAATTTCATCTTCCGTACTTGGAGAATCCTGTTCCCATTAATAACGGTCCCATTCTGGCTCCCCTGGTCCACCAGTACATAGCACTGCAGATCCTGGTCAAAACGCACCTCAGCATGGAACTGAGATAGCACAGGTCAGTCAGTGTCTGGCCCACTACACACTGCATTAAATGTTTACATCACTGCATGATTCATAAAGCACGATATCAGTAAAATGAGCCACAAAAACATCATTACATAGAGCATATTACCTTGCTGACACCCATTTCAGGTATTCGGATGGTATGATCCATGTCCTTCTCTCTGCAAATACATGCTGTGTTAAAACTACAGTTTAAAAATTTGAGATACTACAAGTCAAACCTTAAAAAACAGAAATACACAGGCATGTGAAGTATGTTTTATTAAAGACGTTCTCCATTTCATTCAGAAGTAATTTCTCCTAAGCAAAAACAGAGGAGGCCACAGCAGGACATCGCCATGGTAACCGCCTCCGTACGTGTCTAAGGCCGCCGGCTGTAAACATGAGCGGTCACCTGCCAATGGTCGCCGGGGTGTCAGCGGTGATGATGTACAGGGTTCCCGTCTCCATCACTGGCGAGCGGACAACCGTCACCCTCACACAGGGTGGCCATGCTTCTTCAAAAGCTACACGGGAGGAAAATGAAAACAGTGCCATGAGAATTTAATAGGCTACCTTAAACAAGACTGAGCATTAGAAACTGCAATTATTGACATGAAAAAAATATATACTCAATGACAAAAAGAGGTAAGCACCCAGACGGAGTGGTGGAAATGAAATGAATCTGTATGTGGTGAAAGGTCATGTGACTGTATCGCTATGATTATAATATCTGATCAAACGGACAACAGAGTTGGCAGTATGGGCACACTGCTGCTCCCATGTCAGTGACATCTGCATGCCCCACATGCCGGGAAATTGCACGATATGACCACCCGGCCTCATGCAAACCCACAATGCGACCCCTATCAAACTTTGTCAAGTGCTGGTATTGCTGTCTAATGCACCTACGAGGCATCCTCAGTGTCATGCCAGCTCCATGCAAATTGAATCATTTACACACCCATCACTGCTCTACACATGTAACAAATTACATCCAACCATTACTTCTGGGTGCTTAATCTTTTTGTCATTGATTGCATATACATATTTTAAATAGTCTGTATTAGAAATCTGATAGTTTAAGACTTCTGATGTTGTACCCTTAAAGGCGGCACTGAATTGCTACTCGAAAACGAGCATCTCCACAAACAGTGAGCAGCAGAAACAGCCTAAGGAGATCCACACGTCACAGAACTCCATGAATTTATCTGCGCCTAACTGGCAAAGCCTTCACTGCTATAAAACGGGCTGCAGGCTCTGCGGAGCTGCTCACCTTCAGGGCCGTCCCCTTCGGACCCGGAGCCGTCAGAGCCAGACGGCTCGGAGAGTGAGTCCTGCTCCCTGTCAGACTCTCTAATCTCACCCTCCTCGGGTTCGCTCTCGCTGCTCAAGTCACGGGAGCGCTCGCGGTCACGCCCCACCCTCTGTGGGGCCTTCTGGGACTCCCTCTCCTCCGTGATCTCCCCGTCCTCTGAGAGGTCTGGGCTACGGGACCTGCGGCCGGCCTTCTTTCGCTTCTGTTCCAGCTTCCGGCCTTGACACTCGCCCGCTTCAGTCTCACCTTTGAGGCTCTGACGCCAGATCCACAGCGGACATGAATCAATAACCAAGGTGGAGAATCCTTGTCTTACACTTTTCTTCAAAATAAATTTTAAGGTTTGGATTATGGGAAGAGGCTATACATATTTTATTTTGTTAAATATTTTGTTGTGTGTCTCAGTTTTCAAGTATAAGCAGGACCTTTTCTAAATAAAATCACACTACTACTCTGATATATTAATAACACCACCTAAAAGAGCACTTACAGCAAGGTGCCTAAGCTCCACTGGCTGGCTCACTGCCACTAACCACTCCTTCCATTCATGAGAAACAAGAGCAAATTCTGTCAAGCTCGTGGCACAGAGAAGAACCAGAATGCCAGGGAGGAAGTCAGGTCGAGCAAGATATTAAATGACACCAATAAACCCACGCAGCACATGAATGAAGCACTGTGAACGCGCAGAACGATGGAACTACAAACTTTGCCACTGTCTACAAATTTGCTCACCAGTCCCCAACGCTTAAAGCAACTGAACATTCAAGTCACACAGACCTCTAAGGGAAACGGTTCCACCACTTATTCCTGCCAAAGCCCATAAAAGAGTTTGGATCCTCAAGGCTGCACTATCAGCATCCATCATTCAAACTACCAACAACATCAGACAGCTCCACAGTCCGCTGATTCCGGCACCTCGCAGTCTCCTTACATTCCAAACATTTAATGTGGCTTCAGCTCAATGAGTCAAACAGAAGAAATGCGACCAGTAGGCATACAACTCCTCAGGCTAAAAGAAGCACTGTGATACTGTATAATCCCATGAGAGAACCTTGTAAATCCACGCTACTGTAGAGGACCATAATACACATTACCAAAAGGCACACAGCAGTAAGAAGCCATTACCAGCAGACAGCTTAAAGTTATGTGTTAATGCAATAGATGTACCTTTACTTGGAGGAATTTTTCCTACTGAGCCAATCTTCATATTAGCCATTGAGTTAGTCACTTCTTGTACCTAAGGGTAGGAGGAACAGCAGACAGTGAGCCCCTCGCTGAGAATAACGGCTATCCAAGTAAACCCAGGACTTTTAATTATGTGACTAGATTAAGTTCAGATAGTGCATCCAGCCTTTCATCAACATTATCGGAATGATGGATGCACTCGCAGCTGTAAACGGCAGGATGCTTATCGGCATGAGGCAAACCAACTTACACCCACTTAATTACACGGTTTACAGAAACATAAACAAGGTTTCACCTAAAAGCCACGATTCAGGGCAGCTGACTTGTCATAGGGTGCAGCGCACTGCGTTTTAACACGCTTTACTTGCTGTGTGTGACCGGCCCCTTTAGGTGGTGCTAATGTAAAAACTGGTCATTTTGGGAGTCATGGTCGTACTCCAAAACTGGACTGAGCACCGCACATCTGCTCCTTACGAAAGACACAAAGCCCCACTGACATCACCAAGCCCCACTGACATCACCAAGCCCCACTGACATCACCAAGCCCCACTGACATCACCAAGCCCCACTGACATCACCGTCCCTAAGACATGGACAATGCATGGACGCCCATCACAAGTTCCTTGAGCAAAAGCAAAATCTTAAGCAATTACGGAGGAATTAATATTTTTGCAACCAATTTTTTACACAAACTATTTGCACACACCCTAGCACAGACCCTATACAAATATTTAGGCCAATGCAGTTTCTCTCTTCAGAACTTCAACTACAAAGCTAATTTTCAAGATATATCCAAGATAAAAACATTACCAATTTCCCACCTGTATTTGAAAACTGAGACAACTTATTTACTAAATTCAGCTATGCAAGGATAGATTTACAGCAGAATATCAAATTAAGGAGACAGGGATACATCATATCCATGAAAAAGAGCATGCAGCAAACTGGTGAACATTATGGTTTAACCTCTGCAAGTCAAAACTTGTACTATATGAATCTGTAACAATGTAACCATTTATAAATATTACACAAATAATCATATGGTGATACAATTAACCCTGGAAAGTAAACAGAACACAATACAAAAAATAGGAAGGCATCTGGACCAAAACTCATATCCGTAGCATCTTCAGTTTTAAAACAGCAGAAGATGACTTAATGTAGTTTATTACCTTATCTTTCACAGAAGATTTTTCAGTTCCTTTCCTTTTTTTGCCCTTTTTGTCATGGTTCGACTCCGCCGTGGCCTGATAAGGCTGCATGTCCACTCTAGAGTGAAACTGGTACCGCCCACTCTCCGCGTCATAGTAATAATACATCCCAGTGTTGGCATCATAGTACAGCTGGCTGGTCTGGAAGAGACACAAGCAAACGATTTTATGCAAGTAACTTCATTTGCAGTTTCTGGGAGAGCAGAAGGTCAAATCAACAAAAAAGTAAACCACTATTAGTATTATTTTTACACACAGTTGCAAAAGTTGCAGTTTACTAATTTATTTTAAACTGATCTAAGTTTCACAAATCGCATGACATTAATGACAATTGATGTTGATGTCTGACAGTGACTGGGCAGTGATTATCGCCGTTGTCATGGAACTGGCTTAGGCTACACACAAGGCAAGATAAAGATGAACCATGTGGCCTTCACTTCAGCCTTGTAGCTTACATTTCATTTTTGAAAAAAGAAAGTTACTATTTTTACCTCCTCACAGACATCAGAACAACAACAGAACCTGTGAAATTTGTGTTAAATTTATTTACTTTAGACCAGGGCTTGCCAAACTATGATACGTGGCTAGGGCTTACCATTGACACCCCCTTTGCCACTGGTTCTGAGGTGGAATGTAGTGAGAAGGCCTGTGACATATTTTACATCATAATTTAAAAATCTGTGTGTGTGTGTGTGTGTGTGTGTGTGGGGGGGGGGGGGGGGGGGGGGGGGTCAGGTATTGGAATGGACAACTCAATATTATCGTTTATACCGATTTTTAAACTAAAAAAACAAAACTTTTTTTAGATATCATCTGCCCCTAAATCCCAACCCACTGGAATGTAGAAGTCCCAAAATGACACTGATCAAGTCACAGAAAGGCAACATGCTATCAATTACCGAATCATAGTAGAAGCCTGTACTGTGGTCGTAATACATCCCAGATGTTTCATCGAAAACAAATCCTGTCTGAGACACTGCTTCTTCAGCCGTAGCCCGGATCATGTCAGCAATTGAGGTGCCATTGGTCTCCTGTGTTGAGGGGAAACAATGTTGTGACCAAAAAGAAAGGAAAAAAAAGCATGTATTTCCAGTTAAGTATAGAAATCACACATCGTCTAGATCAGGGGTCACCAACCTTTTTGAAACAGAGCTACTTCACGGTACCGAGCCATACGAAGGGCTACCAGTTTGATACACTCTTCTTAAATAACAAATTTGCTCAGTTTAAAGCATGTTTTAAATGCTTTTTTTTTGCATATTGTCATTTTCAAATTTATATAAATGTAAATGTGATTAAAGAAGAATAGCAACAGGATAGAATTAAATTTTAGACGCTGCTCACTGGTGAGTTGTGCTATTTTTAGAACAGGTCCGCGGGCGACTCATGTGGTCCTTGGGGGCATCCTGGTGCCCGTGGGCACCATGTTGGTGACCCCTGATCTAGATATACCCCGTGTGTATTACATACCTCAGATTTGGAGGCAGTGCCATCCTCCACTGCCACACTGCTGCTCTCCGGGGCACTTTCTGTAGAATCCGGACACGCCTCCGCCGGCTTGTGGCTTTCCAGAGTGGCTTCACACTTTGAATCCTCTTGTGCTGCTGAAGGCTCGTTTCCGCTCTGGTAATAACCTCCATAGTAGTAGTTGTAGTAATCTGTGAAATACAGTGACTTAAATACATGCATATAGCATTATAGAAAATATGCAGAAAAATACCATTTGGGTGACCAAAGAATATAACATGCAGTAAGTACCTGATTCCGTCCAGGAATAATCATCGGTTTGAGTCTCAGCATTTGTTCTGTTCTTTTCTTTCTTCTTTCGTTCATGGATTTCTGCACTTAATTTATTAACCTAAAACAAAAGACAAAACAGTTAACACATAATGACACAAAATTAACAGGACAGTAGGTAACAAGTAAGCAACAATTCCAAATAAAATCTTATACATAGATATAAAGGTTAACATATAATTAATATATTTTTCTTATATTATTACATTCATATCATTTTAAGAGTAATTAAACGTCATTGTCTAAAACCACAGGTGTTTAAAAGGCAGTACCTGCTTTCTTAAGTCTTCGTTATATCGTTCTGTGTTCTTGTGCTGATGTTCTGTCTTGCTGAGTTTCTTCTGTAACCTGTGTAACTCACTTTTACAAGTTTTCAGCTTCTTCTTCAGTGCCTTCACTTTCGCTTGGAGCTCCGTGAGCTCTGACTCTGATCCATCATCTCCATTTGTTGCCATTTTTTCACCTAATGTAAGAGTTTACATATAAGTTAATCTAATGAAAGAATTACTAATTTTATACTAATTTCATGTAATCATGAGAATAAAGCTGCCAGTCAGGTATGGCTGAGAAGGCATAGCAGTTATATTCTCAATTATTATAACGTGGAAGTAAACAAACAAGCAGACAAACAAACCAGAGAGATACACTTGCTAACTACTCAAACATTTCAGTGGTCAATATTTCAAATCATGGGATCAAAAGTGTGGACGCCTTGAAATATATTTTTCTCGTTTTAAACCTGGCTCTTTTAACTGCCAAGACCAACTACCTGCAATGACCATAGGTTTAGGCATAGGTTAGAACATTCATGTAATGTTTCGTTAATAAATCCAATGAATTAGCTAGACGATACTTCACTAGAGAAGGAAAGATGCAGGATAGCGTGACCCAAAGTGAGGAAACATGAAGTAACCAGATACGTAGCTAAGGAGTTAACTTCATTCACCATTAAAAAATATCATATCTAGCTACTGTAGATGTACAGATACGCACTTCGGATTTTAAAACTGCTCGAGGAAACAAATCGAAATGAATTTAAGCGGACTACTATACAGGCAGAAATCTTCCTTTGCGTGAAGCTACCGACCCGTCTTTATTTAGCCTCACCGTTGTGGCAGCCAACCTCCATACTTCCAAAAAGTTCCGCCAGACTAATTAACCTGAAAATTAAAAATAAACATATCGTAACTACCTCGTATTCTTAACATACACATGTACATGTTTCGTTTTATAACGAAGAGAGTTACTGTTAGTAATGGTGCGATGTTTACACTCCGCTTCTATTGAAGCCGCCATTTTTCCAAAAACCCTAACTGCTATTACTGATGACGCAATACTCCGGGCGCCTAGATAATACGCAACCGATTCTGAATACCAAGTGTATACATTCATCCTTCCATTCGTCCGTCCGTCCGTCCGTCTATTATCTGTACCGCTTCATGCCATACAAGGTCGCGGGTGTCCGATTCTTATCTGGGCGCAAGGCAGGGAATAACGCAGGACAGGACGCCAACCCGTCGGAGCAAATATAACATAAAAAACCTTTTCAACAGGTGTGACAAATAAATAAACAAATACATAAATAAGTGTTAAATAGAAAAATGGTTAAATAGATAAAGGCATATGTATAGGATATATGGTGTTAAAATATGCAAATGCACGTGCCACCTTGTTTCAGTTTCCATAACTACAACTAGAACATATCCCAAGACGCATAAAGAATATTTTAACTTTCTAATATTTTTAAGAAGCTAAATTGAAAAAACGGATCAGCTACTGGTCAGAACTTATTGTTTTCATGGTTGCTTTTATTCATATGGTTCCGACTGTATGTTTATATTCAAGAAAAACTCAACTAAAAAACATTAAAATATGCCACCTCAAATGGACCAGGCAGCATAAAGTAGAACATGAGCCTTTCTGTCTCCATTAAATGTAGCAAGTAATATATACGTCTTTAAAGGTTCTTCTGTCTGTTTATATTAGGCATTCACAATATGCTGTTGTTCCCCCATATTAAATTGTCCAATGATACAGTAATTGACACATCAATCAATTGATCCATCCATCCCTCCATCCATCCATCCATCCATCCATCCATCATCTTCAAACCATTTATCCTGATATTGGTCATGGAGACATTGGAGAGCGTAGAACATATTCTATGCAGGTAAAGGACACAAGGAAAGGGAAGGAATTGGACAGGGCATTTTCACAGTACGGTCAACATAGTGTGAAAGGGAGACACCTATTCACCTACCCCTGTCTTTGGACAGAGACTAAGTGGGGGAGGGGGAGTGCCACTTTTGCACAAACAATTGAAAGTACCTCTCTTTTGAGACCTTTTTGATCATCTGCATTTGGGTCTAATTTTGTTTTGGTTTGCTGTGCTTTCACAGTTTTTCTACCTCTGCTGCATTCACGTAGTGATATATTACATTTTTTCAATTTATATGTTGCAGATATTATCAGTGTTTTTTTTTATAGTTATCTGTCTTTATGCTGTTTTTTTCTCGAGTTGTTTTGTTTGTGCATCTTTGGAATCAGAAACATACTCAAATATAATTGCTTTAAATTGGAATGCTCAAATATATCCACAAATATATTCCAACTCTGGGAGCCTGTACATTATTGTTTGTAATAAAAATATATTTACTATCCTCTCAACACTAACCAGGTTAATGATGTTAGAAGGTGGCTGAATAGATGGATGGATGTAATCTGTAGTTTCCTTCCTGTCTTTTCTTTAAATATTTCAAATACATGTAGCAGAACTGCATGTCTTCACTGTACTGTAATTAGTGTTTGATGAGTATTGTATTTTCAATACAGTTTCCAACACCTATTTAAGTGTTACTTTTGTCCTTACTAATTTGCAGTTCTAGAGACAGGAATTTTGTGTTGATGCAGCCCAAGCTACTCAAACATCATAGTAACTCCCAGGATTTACCTATAAAAAGGTTTTGTCTTGCACTAGACTCCCTGGTGGTTATGGCAGGAAGCTCGACAAATGTCCCTATCATGACATTTTCAAAATACTTGGTCTGGTACTGTAACAGTTGCATCCATCCCTTTTCTATACCAGCTTATCCTATGTAGGATCACAGGGACTGTAACAATTGATATAAAAAACTATAATTTTAATGAATTAATATAGGATATCCCAAGAGCTTTCTGATCAAGACAACGCCATAAAGAAGCTTAGTCTTTCACAATGCAACAAAACATTTTTTGTTCCTGTCATAAGCCTGCCAGGAGAGGGCAGTAAAAGACTAAAGCTAACATGGAGTTTGCGTATGTAATGTATCTCTGAAAGGTCAAACCGTAGCATTGTTCCCAAACAATATGCAAGTTGTAGGTTCACATCCAGCATTTACCGATTTTATATATACACTTAATCTGTGTTTTGCTTGCCCTGAGTGTTCTAGTGCCCATACTGTGCTGTGGTTACTGGTTACAGTGTGTCTGAGTACCTGTACCGTAATGGCATGACCTTGGGAATATCGGCGCAGCGCTGGCTCCCACTGGAATCCCGCTGCTTGAGCACCCTGTGGATGGACAGCGCTTCTTCAATGCAATCTGAACCAAAAAGAAAGACATCTGATGTGCTGGCCAGGAAATGCCACTTCACATATGGTTGGTAGTAACAAGCTGCTGCTGGTTTTCTGCCCTCAGTCTCAGTTTAAGAGGAGGGCTGGACTGAGCGCTAACTCAGTCAGAAGGGAGTCTGCCAAGATTACTAACTGCCAGAGTGGTGTGGTGTGTGGCTCAGTGGGTTAGGATGCCGTGCCTGATTAGAAAGTCACTCTCGGGCCCTTGAACAAGGCCCTTAACCCTCAACTGCCCCAGGGACTGTCTGACTCAGCTCTCAATGCTACACCGCTTTGGAATGTGTTTGTTAAATAAAGTGATTGTGTAGAAAATGGCTGCCTCTGGTGAGACTGTCACCACCCATGCCAATCAGAACTGGCTAAGGACCCACATAAGGGACATTGGCAGCCACCTAGGGAGCCGACTTGGTCACGCCGTGCTTCAACACCCCAGCCCCAGGAACCTTGTGTTGCACCTCTACAGAGGACCAATACCCTTGAACACTTTCCCCAGTTTCTTGTTTGCCTTCCTACAGTGTGTGTAATCAACACATGGCACCCCCACAAAGACTAAGAGAAGGTCCCCCTCTCAGGAACATGAGCCCTCAGCCACCACTATCTGCTTATGAGGAATGATCAATCCTTTATTGAGCACAAGTATGAATACAGGTACATCGGAATCTGTTTTTTTGCCTACCCCAACCTGCTCTGATTGGCTTGGGGGTCACAGCATAGGGTCAACTATCATGTGATACCCCTGGAGCTGGGGGCTAAAGGCCTTGTTCAAGGGTCCACAGACATGTGACCATTCTGCCTAGGCCAGGGCTTGAACCAGCAATTGTATGATCATGGCTACAAAGGCTTAGCCCGCAGAACCACTATACATGATGACATAGTGGGAGAGGATGTGGGCATTCTGAAATGGAGACTTCCCAGTACCATTTCAGGGGGAATCCGATTCTCTGCTGGAGGAACTCGGAAACATTACCGAAGTTCCTACACTGTGATGAAGAGACAGTGGATTGTCTAGTGGGCAATTGTTTAGTGGCTCCAATAGCCCCTAAAGTGATGATACACAGGGGAACTCTTTGAGTAATGTTGCTGGGCAACAGCCAATCAGATGAGTCAAAGGGCAACTCATCTGGATCTGGATGATTGCAAAAGTGAAAGTGCCTGAGCATCACTGGTCAGCAACTTGCTCAAAAAGTTGCCATGTATATCGTTACCCTCAGGAATTGCTCCAACAGCTGAAAAAGGATGTGTTTCCCAACAGTGCTGGAAACCAGGAACCACAACAGACCAGTCACCATTTTATGACCAAACTGTTTTAACAAGATTACATTGAAATCTATCTTGTCAATTTTGAGCAAGTGGCAGAGCAAGGCCCTGGGGTGAGTCAAGAACTTCTGACAGCAGTGTGAAATGTGTTACCGGTCTTCCACCCAGCCCCATCCTTGAGAAACCATTGGAGCATGTTGATATGAAACAAGTGGAGCTTCTTCCAAGATCAGTCCAGCATCACAAGTACATTTTAGTCCATGTAGACTAGGCCTTCAAGTAGCCACTCCATTACAAACGCTATATCCAAGAATGTGGCAGCAGAGTTGTTATAGTTCTTCATCTGTGTTGCCATGCACCATAAATAGCAAACAACAAATAAACACATCCTGTTTGACTAGGGCACACCTGTCATCTTGCAAATGATGAATAATATCTGTTGGCTCTTGTAAGTACAACATCTCTGCACCTTGGTCTACCACCCCACTGTAGATTGGCTTATTGAATATTTCAATCAGACACTCAAGCAGGTACTGAAAAAGGCAGTATCTGAGTACAGGACCTGAGGCCACTGTATTTAGTCTCAGGGGTCCAAGAGATTCCCCAAGCCTCCAGAGGATTCACCCCCATTAAAATTACTCTTTGACAATCAACCTCATTGACTTTATAGCACAGAAAAGCAGCCTGAGAGCAACAGCCTTATCCCTGTAGCACCACAAAACAGATGAGGGAGAGAATTTAAAAGGTGATGCCAATGCTTTGAGAACATATAGGGCAAACTTAGCACACCCAACAATAAATAAATACGACTGGTTACCCCAACCATAAGAATTCCAGCTTGGAGATCTAGGGTTGATGTTCCTGCCCATTGCCAGCCGCAAGTTTCTTACAGACCTCAGAGTGTAGAAGGAGGGAAAAATTTGCTGTATCCATCAACTGTGGTGATAAAGAAAGGAAGAAGTACACCATGTCAACTAGCTGAATTGATGGACTGAACCCACACTCCTGCTATCTGCTTGCACTGTAGAAGAATACAGGGACAACAGTAACAAGAGAAAGTTCACCAGTACCAAAATATTTGGTACAAACAAAAATAATTTTAAAAAAATCACACTTCCTGATGTCATTGTTCGAAGAGGCCCAAGAACTCGTTGTGGAGGACAAAGTACAAAATACACTAGTGGCCCACTCTGGATTTTCACAGGCCACTCTGTTGCCACACAGATGCCTTGGACACTGACTGGAGACAACAAGGGGAACAAGGGGCCCCCACCATATTCCCCAGACTAGCCTTACGGCAAAGTCATCAGAGACAGAGCCCTCCACCGTCATTGGCTGTGTAGACTTGGTGGCTCCATAGATATTAATTGCTCGTTTAATTAGTGTACTAAAAGTTTTTTTTTCTCCATATTGTTATCTATATTGATTTGGTCTTTTACAAGAATAACA